CGGCAGCCCGGGGGGCTGTCGGGGTGAGGCGCCTGGCAGGGCGGGGGGGGGTGGAGAGGCTCCGTAAGGGGCGGGGATGGGAGAGCAGGCAGGGGGCTGTGGAGCACGCTACGCGTCTGTCATATTTCACGCCCCGCTCATTCCATTCGATGGCCCGATTCGATTCAAACGTCGATTGAAAGCCCCCGCAACAGAGTGGCGAACGTAGCGGCCCTCTACTGGCGGACGGTGTTCAAGTCGAGACGCAGATTATTCTAGTTTTTTTGTTTTGTTTTCTCCACTCTGACGAATGCAGCGGCTTGTCGTGGCTGGCCGGTTGACGCACGTACGCGAAGCTGAAATAAATACAGGGACTCCTCGACATACGAACGCGTTAGGTTCCAGAGGTCTGTTCGTAAATCGATGTGTTCGTAAGTCCAACTTTACTCCTGTCGATTCCAAACGTGTTGTACGGCGTGCACACTAAGCACGGGGAATGGATTTAAAAGTTGCATAATCTTCTATAGATATAGATGCCACTGGTTCTTCGTGTTCTGCAGATGTAGATTCCATCAACGCCATCAATTGCGCGGCGGTTGAGCTTATGACTCTCGGTCCGAACAGGCAACTGGACATACGGACAGGTTTGTCCGTATCTCTGAAAGTGCGTAAGTTGAGTGTTCGTAAGTAGATGAGTCTGCACAGTACTTGTATGCGCGATTCTTTGCGCAAGCTGTCCCGTGCACGTGATGCACCGTGAGCCTTTATAATCGATACTAATCGATGAATCGACGCGTCTGTTAAGCCACAGTGGAGGGGGCGGGGGGAGGGGATGGAGCCAGGGTCGGAGAGGAGAGGGAGGATGAAGGGGGGAGGAGATGGATCCAAAGTAGGGGGTCGAAACCCAGGGGTCGGCAACCAGCGGCTCCGGAACCGCGTGTGACTCTTCAAGGATCGCTGCGTGACAGTTCTTGATTTAAGGAACGCCAGCGTCTCGTAATCGCCACGTGCGTTGCGCGGCTCTTCAAATATTTCAGTTTCGTACGGAAAATTGAAGAAGAAAAAAACATGGCTCTTCTTGTTACTTTGGTTGCCGATTGCCTGGGTTGGACGAGAGTGTGCACACGCGTTTTTAATATCCGACACGAACACCGGCACTAGGCCGAGACCCCAGCCCTACCCCATGACCCCATACACCCTCTAATCCCCTTCCTCGCGTTGCGGTCAGGGCGCAAGGCGGGTAGTAGGGGGGGGGGGGTAGAGTGAGTCTAACTAACAACTATTTTTTTCTTAGTTCACCAGGTAAGGCCCACTGAGCTATGAAGCTCTTCATTCAGAAGCGACTCTGGCGATCACAAATGAGAGCTCAGCGAGGCGGCTCAACGTGTGAGGCCATTTACAGCGGCCAAAAAAACTCTAAACCGGTGATTCTTAACCTGGGGTTGCCAGATGCCTCTTCTGAGAACCAAAGGCTGCAGTCAAGGTTAAGAACCACTGCTCGAAATGCGCGCTGATTTCAAATTGCGGAGGGAAGTGAGCGAGCGAGCGCTTTACGCTGCAAGTGAATCTCGCTCACAAAGCTGTGCTTTTTATTACCATTACGGAAAATTCGAGTTGATTTTTTTGTTGACACGGGCGAGAAGGTGAAGAGACTGGGATGGGGAAGTTACACTTGCGACGAATGCACCGGCGAATTCTCCATCTATGCACATCCTGGCGGTATCGCTGAAATCCACACTGCGTCAAGCACCTCATTGGACGGAATGAGAAACCTATGTATTCATTTATGACGATCATTAAGACAAAAACACTGTTGCTTTTCACAATTCCATACGAAAGAAGAACTTGCGAGAGTGACCTGGGGGGCATGGATCTGTCAGTAGAGGGCATTGATTGCTGCTGCGGCGGCTGTGTGTGTTGGTGAGGTCCCAATTTAGGAAAATTTGCGGGAAACTTTCGAACGTTGCCACATGTTGCGCCGTGGCGCCTGGCACCCCATGGCCTACTCTTGCGAATGCCACCAGGGTGATATTTAAAAGTTCACCGAAGTAAAAAAAGGCGCAAATTGCTACTGCGGTTAATACAACACACGCCGCAGTATTAATCGGAGCGGCCGCTGGATTGGAACCGCGGAGCTCTGCAACGAGCGGCGAACGCGCTCCGCCGCGCCTCCGACTAGCACGGTTGGCAACGTACGGTGCGAAAAAAGTTCAATATACATTCATAATGTGCAATATTAATAAAGACGATGATGATGTGATGATGATGATGATTTAATTATTCGATGAAGATGAGATGATTCTTGATGCTTGATATTAGATTTTTATTTATTTATTTAATGATGAATCGATGATCATGACGATTCACTTCGCATGCGCGGGGACACGTGCTCAGACGATGTCCGCACCACGGGCTCTCAGTCAGGACGTGTCACGAACCTACTTGCTGTACTGCCTATTACAGGCAACCAACTATTTGCCCAGCCGAGTGGGCATCATTATCATCACAATCAAACATGATCAATCCACTGCTGGATATAAAAAAACACACACAATCTCCCCAAGCAACTCGCCAACCTTCGCCAGCGTGCCAGTCACAGTAGTAGTAAATCCGTGCTTGATCCACCAACCACAACCCATTCACTGAGACTCGTTCAATCACCAATGAATTGTGGCAACGTGTGTGCGAGTCTCGGTCAGCAGCGCTTACACACGTGGGCTGTAGAGTATTCATCATCATCATCATCAGCCATGATCTATCCACTGCCGGGTGAAGGCCTCCCAAAGCCACCGCCAGTGGTTGTCGCAACGCCCTATGGACCCACTGATCCGAGTTCTATTCCAGGCCACGGCGATGTGAACTGTTCCTGCCGAGGAGTTCCAGACTTCACAACCCCTCAACAAGGTGAAACACCCTCCTACCTCTCCCCTCTCATCTCACTCCACTCCCCTCCACGCACTCTCCTCCCTCTCCCCTCTCATCTCACTCCACTCCCCTCCACGCACTCTCCTCCCTCTCCCCTCTCATCTCACTCCAATCCCCTCCGCGTGCTCTCCGCTCCAGCAACCCAGGCTTTCTCTCGAAGCTCCCCCAAATTAGCTTTCACTCAACGAGTGGGGAGGCCGCTTCTTCAGTTTTGCTGTACCCTATTGCCTGGAAGCTCCATTCCTCCCACCCCTCCCACAGGCATCCGTGCTGTCGACTACCTGCCCCCCCCCTTCCAAGTCCAAGCTCAAGAAATGCACGCTCGTATATCTCGCCCATGCCTTACTGAGTCGCTTTCCCTGTACGAGTGAACGCATCTATCTGCCCGCTGTGGTCTGCTCAACGCATCCTGTGATAGGAGGGAAGCGGTGGGCGCAATTGCGCGCTCTATAAATCCTCGTATCGTCCTGGTTTTAATTTCAAATTTTGAAATAGAGAAGAGCAAACACGTGCACGGCTTCCTCGTTACGCGCGGATCGGGCCAAAAAACACCGCCCAATTGACGTTTCCTTTGTTTCGTTCCGAAATTAAATTCGGGGGGGGGGGGGGGGCGTTTTGCTAGGAACGCGGTGGAATTTTATCTACACATCTCATCTTGTGTAGTGTGTGTTTGTGTGCCTATATATAGAGCGAGAGATATACTGTGGGGAGACGGTGGCGCTGTGGTTGGCGTGACCGCGCTACGAACCCGGCGACGTGAGATTCGATCCGTGGCCTCGGCTTCGCATCAACGGCAGCGAGTTGTATCTGAGCAGTCCTCGGACCCCCCCCCCCCTCTCTTTCTTTCTCTCGACCACATTCACCAATCCCCACACTGGCCGGCGTGGTGAAGTATGGTCAAAGCCCCCGCGACCGACAGAGCGTGGGGCGGCCTTCATCCAGCAGTGGAATTGGACAATTGTTGAAAGTTGTTATCGATATTGGGTATGAGTATAACGACTATAGGTTATAGGAATACTAACGTCCTCATGGTCGTATTTTATGGATCATAAGTCAACCCCGGAGACTTGAACGCACCCGAAAAGTGCATCCGGTGTCCAATAAAGCTATCGCAATCTGGTCGCACACGCACACACCAACCGGATTATAAAGACGCAACCACAACTTCATACAACATGAGAAACACACGTGTCACTGTCTGTCCGGCTGGCTGGCTGGCAGGGCGTCACATCCGCAGGGATGGAGGCACCGATGGACGGGCACGTCCAAAGAACGCGCGGGCTGCTAGTTCGATTTGAATCGCACGCGGAGAATACGGCACGTGGTACATTATAGACGCATGTGTCTTATTTCCTACTTGGCGCGAGATGTGGGTAGGGGGTGGTGGTGGGTTTTTATTGGGCCGCGTGAGATGTTCAACGCTGCGAAGCGGCAGAGCCTGGACGGAGTCGAGAGGCTGCATCCTGAGTGCGTGCCGCTTTGCGCCGCTCTCTCCAGATGTGAAGGGGCTTCTCCAAATTGCCCCGTGAAATCGCAATGAGACGCGCCTCTCGTTAGCGGATGAGAGACCCCCCCCCCCGGGGGTGCCCTGCGGTCCCAGACACGCGCCACCTCCAACGCGAATGAGCAATCGCCGTCAATCGACGAGGCGCGTAGCCGTGGCAATGATTCATTGATGGGACAAGCCGGTCGAGACGAACGGCTGTTTTGATTGACGCACGTGAAAGTTATCACCGGTCGTTAATAGTATCGCTGTCCATCATCCTCCATTCATTCATTCATATATGATTTTCCGCTATTATCATCATCATCATCACCACCACTATCATCACGACCACTTTCATCATTGCCACCACCACAACGCCAACATTACCACCACCACTCCACCGCTGTCATCACTCATCCCCACCACGACTTCACCAACATGCCAACACCCTCATCATCAACAATCAAAGCCCATGCCTCCTTTGCAATTATTTTATTTGAATGGGCTCATTTTCACCTGGCTAAATAATTCACTATTGCACATCGTCACAGAGAGTCATCAGCACCATCACCATCATAGCCGCACATATGCACCCGACAGAGGCGCTCACCTGGGTCGCGCGAGAAGCAGAGAGGGGCAGATGCAGAGCTGGTGAAGGGGACGCGCGCGCTGGACTTAAACAAAAAAAAAATAGAAATTTTAATTATTGAATTCTACCGATTTTCTTTTGCCGGGTTATGTTCGGGCGTTCTCGAGCCCTGGTCGTGGACGCGCGCGTGCCGTGCCAGTCCACCTTCCCACGTGGATCCTTCCTCTTGTCTCCCTCGTTCTCTTTGTCTTCTCTGCGTCTCTCTCTCTCGTAGGGCGATGTTCGTCGGTTCTCAGCGCGCTCGCGCTCACAACTCGAGGTCTCCACTTTGGTCTCTCTCTCCTCTCTCTGTCTGTCTCTCCTCGCGGGGGACTGGCAGGGCTAGTGCACTGGCCACGCTCCTACAGGCGAGCCGCCTCTTATTCATGGGAGGTCACGGTAATTTGTGGGCGGAGGGGCCTGAGAGAGAGGGGGGGGTGAGGGGAAGAGTGGGGGTTGGGAGAGTGGTGGGTGGGTGGGGGAGATGGGGCGTGTGTGTTGGATTGCTCGCTAAACTCACTCGTTCCACTGGTGGCTCGAGAGGGGGGAGGTGGGGGGGTGTAAGGAATAAGGGTGAGGAGGGGAGCAGAATGAGTGAGGCAGAGGGAGGTGGGTGAGTGGGTGGGTGGTTGCGAGGTGGGGGAGTGCCGGGTGTGGTTGGGTGAGACGCGGGGGGCGGCGGGGGGAGGGAGACTTTTTGAGATTTAATGTTGGTTGCAAAAAATAAGTGACTAGTTTTGAAAAGAAATAAATGGCGTTAGACGAACAGCAAGAAACGCAAATTGACAACGGAAGGGACAGGCGGCAGGGAGAGCGAGCGAGCCGACAAGGGCAGCCTCACGCGGAGACGGAGCGATGGAGTCGGCTGGCGTGCGGAATGCAACAGCATTTGGGTGCTTCGCAGGAGCTTACGGAGGCCTTCATCCAGCAGTGGATTGATCCCCGGCTGATGATTGCTTGGGAGAAGGTTTGATGTTTGACATCTCGGCAACTGTTTAATCGCCAGAAAGGGTAAACCCCGATTTTTATGTTTTCATACCCCGGATGATGATTCATCATCGTGGTCCCGCGCCTCCGATTGGCACCGTTGGGCTGCGTACGGTGCGAAAGAAGTTCAGCATGCACGCGTCGTTAGGCAAGATCAGTCCACCGCTGGATCAAAGCATACACGAGCCGTATCAATACCGCGCTATTGTGGGCGATACTCGTTATTGCTGTTCCAGAACCTCTAAGCAATACAATCTTTACGCGTTGGTTCTTTCGGTAAAGTCACGTAGGTAGAAAAAAATAAGATCACGACGTCATCAGATCGTCATCGTCATCAGGAATGGTTGTCTCACCTGATGACGATTGCTTGTGTTGCGATCGAAACGTCGTGATCTAATATTATTTTTTCTACCTACGTGACATTACCGAAAGAAACAAAGAGTCTGGATTCCTGCAGTCACGAAAGCTTCAAATCAATACAATCAATACGGGAACATCTGATTAAGCGCAATAACTCTGGATCGGCTTCGCCCTCCCAGGCCTCATCAGCAGAGCGAGGCGTGCAAAATACAGAGAGTGCTCGTTGTACCAGGCGTCATTACCAGTGCCCTCTCGCTGCCACTATGGGCAGCTATCAGCTGCTGCAAGTGCCGTTTCATCAGAAGCCAACAAGCCAATAGACACCAATACCGAACTCACCACGCAGCTCACCTAACCCCAGTACTGAACTCACCACACAGCTCACCAACACTATAGCTCAACTCACCACAGAGCCCTCCAGCACCAATGCCTGGGTCTGCGTGGTTTTTTCCCCGCCTTCCCTTTGCCAAAGATTGCCAGCGAAATATTATCATTGGCAACGGTTCGCGAAGTCTGGAATATAATATTTGAAAAGCGTTCAACGCTATTCCGGCCTACCAGCGGGATTGGCGAATGCCTGGAGGGGATGTGTTTTTTTTACACACGGGTTTAAGCTTGCTCACTTAATGGACTGGTCTGCCAAGATGTTTTTTCTTGTTGTTGTAAGTGATATACCCCGACCCGTAGATATTCCGTCTCTCCGCATTGTACATGATCTCGTTAAGATCTCACAAAGCTCAGCGCGGTGGGTGGGGGGGGGGTTGAGCCTGTACGAAACATGGGCCGATTACCACGCATAACAGACGTTGCAGGCTGTTGGGGAGCTACGCAGTGGCGGGCATTAGAGGGCGGAGCATCAAAACAATCCACGTCTGTGTTACCCCCACCGCCTTCAGCAACCCCCGGCACTGCGCGGACCGGCGCGACTTCGTCTGTCCAAATGAAGCTTCCCAACGTAGCGTGCCGCACGGCGCGGGGAATGCCGTCACCTCCCTCCCCCCGGAGGTGCATTCGCCGATGGAGCTGTGCACGCGTGTACACGTGCCCTCTCTAGGCACCGTGTACACGTCCCCTCTCTAGGCACCGTGTACACGTGCCTTCTCTAGGCATGAGTACACGGTGACGTGTCGTGTGTACACGGTGCCCTCTAGACACCGTGTAGACACGTGCACGAGTACATGTGCCCTCTAGGCACCGTGTACACACGTGCACGAGTACATGTGCCCTCTAGGCACCGTGTACACACGTGCACGAGCACATGTGCCCTCTAGGCACCGTGTACACACGTGCACGAGTACATGTGCCCTCTAGGCACCGTGTACACACGTGCACGAGCACATGTGCCCTCTAGGCACCGTGTACACACGTGCACGAGTACATGTGCCCTCTAGGCACCGTGTACACACGTGCACGAGTACACGTGCCCTCTAGGCACCGTGTACACACGTGCACGAGTACACGTGCCCTCTAAGAACCGTGTACACACGTGCACGAGTACACGTGCCCTCTAGGCACCGTGTACACGTGCTCTCTCTAGGCACCGTGTACACGTGCCCTCTCTAGGCACGTGTACACGGTGACGCGTCGCGGTCTGTGCGTACGGCTTGCCGAGCGAGCGCTGGCGCAACGCGCTGCTTCGTTGTCCATTTCATTATTTCAGAAACCTCCTTCCATTGTAACACCCCCGCGCTCCTCCACTCACCGCTTCATCGTCACCGAGAGAGACAAACCTGTCCGGCGTCTCTACCTGTGCACCTATGAAGAAGGGCTATTCCCCGAAACGTCGCCTATTATACATTGATCCTTTTAAGGCCACAACGGTGGTTATTGAGTTGCTGTTTGTTGTTTGTGGCTTTGTACCACCGCTGCCAACGCGAAAAAAAGCTTTATAGCTCATCGGATTGTATGTTTGTATGTATGTTGAACTTCTTTCGCACGCTACGTAGCCAACCGGAAGAGTATGAATAAATATTCTGATTCTGATCACCAAAAAAAAAATATTGACAAAAAACATTTCACGGACAAATCATCGCTTGCGCCCTGGTAAAGCGACGATTACGCAAACCCCCTGCGGAGCTGATAAATGCCAATTAATTAGCGCGGCCGACAGGAGCTGTCATTGCCAGCAATATTACCGTGTCGCAACTCGGCCATGGGGTCACGGCGCCACGTGACCTGTCCCTGTCCCTCGGCCCGTGAGGCAAATCCACGTTCGTCGCTCCGTTGTTCACCTTCATTCACGGGGAGGCCGGTGGTTTAAAAAGAGAAACAAAAATCTGGGAGCGTTCATCGGTTGCGCGTGTTTCTATCGATGAGCAAGCACCCTGTCCTCCACACACACACACACGTGGAACTTTACGAATCGTGATAATCGAATCGCGGGTGTGTGTGGGGGGGGGAGGGGGGGGTGTGATCTGGTTGACTCAAAGCGTGCGTCGCTGTCATTGGCTGAGATGATGATGATTGGGGGGGGGGGGGGTCGGGTACGTTTCCTCGGCCAGCGCTTTATCGATTTTATATTTTCTATTTTTTTAAAGTAATTATATTTTTGTTCGTACGAAAAATGTCTCCAGGACAAAGAGCGCTACGAACGACCCAGCGTTCTATGGAGTCGCGCTCAGTGAGGTCTGCCTGTACAATATTCGGGAGAGATTAAATAAAAAGTTTTGCTGACTGGTTTGGCAGCCTTCCTGGCTGCGCTGGCCCAGGCTGGGCGCGTGACGTCATGACGTCTGCGTGATGACGTCACGCGCATCCCACAGCGTTGAGGTCGGGTTGATGCGTGCCGACGTCACGCCTCTCCTCTACCCAACCGACCCGACGGAGTTGGGAGACAAGGGGCTGCTGGGGGCTTCATCCGCGAGTGGATAACCCATTCGCTCATGATGCTCGTGAGCGACGTGAGGCCCCCATGCAGATTGGCAACTGACAGGAGGGCTGACAGGAGGGCTGACGACGAAATCAAGAGCGTGATCCTCGAAACTTGTTGACCGCGCGCGAAGACAAAGATCCCCCCGTATATCCTTTGACAGACTGTTGGGGCAAGTGCTGTTAGCCAGTAGCGTCTATGAAGGTCGGCACGAGGGGGTGGGTGGGTGGCCAGCACCACGCCCGGCCGCCGTTATCTCCCCAGTGGTAATATTTACGCATCGCACCAGGTACTCATTTGAGGCCGAGTCGACCAAGGGGAGAGACCCAAGACCGGTTCGGATAAATCGTCACCGGTGCCGGTGGCCGTGAGCGGGAATCGAACTCGGGTCGCCGGGGTGTATCGTAGCGGAGCGTAGCGGGCTAACTGCTGCGCCACCGCTCCACGCGCGTACCCCACACGGCCTGCAGGGGAGCTTTGCTCCGCTGTGTTCAGCAGGTCCCCGTGTGCGAGCCCAGGGCCTCGTGTGCCCGCGTGTGTGTGTGTGTGTATGTGTTAAGACTCAGCCTCAAATGAGTACCTGGCGCGGTGTGTAAACATCGCCACTAGGGAAACAAAGGCGGCCGGGCGTGGTGTTGGCCACCCACCCCCTCGTGTGTGACGTGACGTGCAGTCCTTTATAAGTGCTCGCTAACAGCACTTGCCCCTGTAGTCTGTTAAGGCTATACGGGGGATCTTTTTTTACGTGGTGTGTATGTGTGCGGTGTGTGTAAGTGTGTGTGTGTGTTAAGGCTATATGGGGGGGGGGAGGGGTGATCTTTGGGTGTCGGGGGTGGTAGTGTCGCGGTTCGCGATGAGCACGCTGCCCTACGAACCCGGGTGACCCGAGTTCGATTCCCACTCATGGCCATCAGCCCCAGTGACGATTATCCGAACCGGTCCTGGGCCTCCCCTAGGTCGACTCAGCCTAAAATTAGTACCTGGTGTGGTGTGTAAAAACAGCACTCGGGAGACAAAGGCGGTCGGGCGTGGCACTGGCCACCCACCCCGTCGTGTGCCGTTCCGGCCTTCATAGCTGCTCGCCAACAGCACTTGCCCCCAACAGTCTGCAAAGACTACACGGGGGATCTTTGTATGTATGCGTGTGTGTGTGTGTGTGCTAATGACAAGGCTTCTCATT